CATAGTGTTTTTAAATCTGAAACATTCACATCTTGAGAAGTATTTAGAAAGTTAGACACTACATTGCTTAACAAATGGGGTAAATATACCTTCTTTTACATATTCTGTAATGTTCAAGAAGAGAAAAAATAATTGATAAAGACTCGCTTGCAAGAATGAGTCTTAGTGTTCAAGACTTTTGAACAAGCAGAATATGAGCATTACACTATTGAAATTGATCTAGATAACATCGTGTTAAAATCTCCAGTTATACTTGACAAAAGCAATGAAGGTAAAAACAATTCAGACAAAAAATGTAACTCAGAGTCAATAAAGTGATTGCAGACACTGAAAAAGCACACAAAGACTTTTTCCTTAAAATATTTTTTAAAAAGACATAAGACAACTAAAAATTGTATAATTTGAAGATGGATTCAGAGGAAAATGTTTGGAAATAGCTTATAACTATTGTTTTTTTACTGTTCCCCAAGCAGTGTAGAGTAAAATCTTTTTCAGCAATGGGAAACTTTGCACAAAATAAATGAACAATGATACTAGTGGAGCATTTTGTTTTTTTAATGTTTCATGTTTTTAAAGCTGAAATTATATCATTTCATGTTTAAATTTTCATAATTATTTTCATCTTTATTATTATAGAATTAAAAATACTATACACACACACACACACACTCTACTTGATGGTGGTATGTGTTTATAATTTTTTAAACTTGAACTGTATGAAAGTTTTGTTCCACTAATATTTAATTTCATAAATTCTGAACTTTAAAAAATTATGTAATATATGCTAGGCATTGTGCTAAATGCTTGGAACATATCAACTAATTTAATCCTCACAATTATATTATCATCTCCATTCCACAGATGATGGGGTGAGATAGGGGAAGATTAGGTAAATTTCCTAGGGTTACACCCTTAATATTGGTAGAGCTAGGATTAGAACTTTGTGGCTGGCTCCAAAATCAATGCCCTTAAACACTACATCATACCACCTCTTTAAAAATGGAAATGGTTCCCTAACTGGTTTGGCTCAATGGATAGAGCGTCGGCCTGTGGACTCAAGGGTCCCCGGTTCGATTCAGGTCAAGGGCATGTACCTTGGTTGCGGGAGTAGGGAGTGTGCAGGAGGCAACTGATTGATGTTTCTCTCTATCCTTCTCCCTTCCTCTCTGTAAAAAATCAATAAAAAAATATATTTTAAAAAAATGTTTCAAAAAAAGAAATGGTATTTCGGTCCTACATGAAAGAAATAGCCATATTTTGCTTGCACCGGAGCTGTAATCACCAATTCAAGAGAAGTATATTCCAAAGGCTTCACAAATTCTCAATTCACAGCTTCATTTGAGATATAGTTTTATAGATCATCAGTTCAATACTTAAGAGATTTGCTTCTGAAGTTTATAGGCAAGTAAATAAGGGCATATAGAGTAATAGCAATCTTATCTATTCTTAACAATTACCCTCTGATGAAGGGACTGATCATCCCTGTCAAGAATGATCCCCAAGGGCAGCTCACAGAGTCAAAGATGTTAAATCTGAGAATGGCTCTTTGGTGGTATGTATCTGCACCTGTATCGCTAGCTGAGTACCTGCACTGTCACTGTGTCGGTGCATATGGGGAGAGAAAAGAGAAACCTGGGCCCCAGGGGCATGGTCTCTAGTGAAGCATTTCCCCTCTTACCAACAGCCATTTGCAAAATGTTACCTTGACGTTCAGAGATTAAATGATAGCCCAAGTTGAGGGAGCCTCTTGTTTGTTTGTCTCAGGACAGTTTTTATGCCATAAACTAAAATCTCTTCTCCTTCATTTCACGTTTCACATGTTTTCTCCATTTCTCTACCCCCAAACACTCTCCCCTTTCTTCAAACCTAGTCACCTCCATCCTCCTTAGGTTTCTCTTCACCGTCACCTCTCCCCACCCTCTCTCCTCCCCTCTCTGTCCCACATACTCTCCCCACCCTCATACGTTTTCATCCGGTCTCGATTTCAACCCTTCACTCCTTCCCCAGATAAGAGCCCCTGAGTCTACTGACCACTAGTCCTTCCTTCTCTTTCATGGGCTCTCCACCCTCACATATTTCCCTTGGCCTTTCTCAGACATCTCTCTTCTTTGACAGAATTCTATTTGAGATATAAAACTGCTCCTGAGAACTTGGGATTTGGAATCTTTGGTCTAAAAATCTTGGCATAATCCCGCCCTTAAGATCCAGATAAGCCCTGTCTGGTTTGGCTCAGTGATTAGAGTGCAGCCTTCGGACCTCAGAGTCACCCGTTGGATTCCCGGTCAAGGGCAAGTTGGCCCTGCCCACATGGGGCAGTATATCTTGGTTGCTGGCCAAGTAGTCTGGAGGAAATAAACTTACCAACCTCTCTCTCTTCTCTCTCTCTCTCTTCCTCTTTCCCTCCCTTCCTCCCTCCCTCCTTCTCTCCCTTTCACTCTAAAAATCAATTGGAAAAATATCCTTGGGTTAGGATTAAAGAGATCCAAGTAAAATTGGTGTGAATGCCTGTCCGCAAATTCCTGTTTCTAGCCCAGCCGTGGGCAAACTACGGCCCGCGGGCCGGATCCGGCCCGTTTGAAATGAATAAAACTAAAAAAAAAAAAAGACCGTACCCTTTTATGTAATGATGTTTACTTTGAATTTATATTAGTTCACACAAACACTCCATCCATGCTTTTGTTCCGGCCCTCCGGTCCAGTTTAAGAACCCATTGTGGCCCTCGAGTCAAAAAGTTTGCCCACCCCTGTTCTAGCCTCTGCCTCCACCATTAGTTTAGCTCACTCTGTAAGTGCCCTGTGTCCAGGATTCAGAAATGAGATTCAGCCTTTCCCTCTGTCTGCACCTAAAACTGTTCCTCACAGTATTTAGTAATGTTTCTTATGGTTAAAAAAAAAAAAATGATGTTTCAAGCCGTATCAAAATGCTCCTACATCAAAGCAGCTGTGCCAAATTGTCACAAACCTGACAGAATGGGAAGTGACAGATGGGTCAGCAGGCCTGAACCAAGTTGGCCCTGCCCACATGGGGCAGTATATCTTGGTTGCTGGCCAAGTAGTCTGGAGGAAATAAACTTACCAACTCATCTTTTTAAAAAAAATATAGTTTATTTATTTTTTACAGAGAGGAAGGGAGAGGGATAGTGAGTTAGAAACATCGATGAGAGAGAAACATCGATTAGCTGCCTCCTGCATACCCCCTACTGGGGATGTGCCCGAAACCAAGATACATGCCCTTGACCAGAATCAAACCTGGGACCCTTTACTCTGCAGGCCGACGCTCTATCCACTGAGCCAAACCGGTTAGGGCCCAACTCATCTTTTTTTAAGGGATGTGGGATGGGAGTGGGAAGGAACCAATGTTTACTGAGAACCTACCATAAGCCTGGCACCGTATCTCACTTAGCCCGCAAAACAACCCTGCTGGTAGGCATTATCATACCTAATTCTGAAGATTTTGGAACTGAGAATCAGGTTAAATGGCATGATTTTTTTTTCAATATTCCTATTGTGGATTGTCTAAATAATAGCAGTAGCTCCCCGCAGGGCTGAATCAAAGGCAGGGCCGTTGTAGTTGCCTAGACACCAGCCTCTATAGAGTGCCCATACCTTGCTGGAAATGTGAGAGGGAGAATGTTCTGTTCCCAGCACTTCTTGTGGGGAGAAGTGGAGTAAATAGGTGTAAGAAATACTAGTTGAGGGGCTGCTGGAGGTGGGGTAGAATTATATTTCCGCTGCCCCCAGCCTCCCTTCCAGATGGCCTTCTTTAGTGTGGAGGAGGGTCACATGGGGTTCTGGTTGGGTGAGTTGGTGTGCGCTGTTAAAGATAGGGCTGAATTCTTCATGACAACAGAGGACAGGCCGAGCCACTGCCATGAGAACACCCTTTCCTTCCTCCCTGCAGCCTGACCCTCCACGTCATGCCTCACTTCCCAGTAGTGACAGGTAGTCACAGACTGAGAGTTTGAGCTCTTCAGGTCCCAGGTGCTTTAGGAGCTGCTGGCTTGGGTGCAAACACAGCCAAGTCCAAGAACCACACCACGCACAACCAGTTCTGAAAATGGCACAGAAATGGTATCAAGAAACCCTCAGGCCCTAGCTGGTGTGGCTCAGTGCATAGAGCATCGGCCTGAGGACTGAAGGGTCCCAGGTTCGATTTGGGTCAAGGGCACATGCCTGGGTTGCAGGTTCGGTCCCCAGGAGGGGGCATGGAGGAGGCAGCCGATCAATGACTCTCTGTCATCATTGATGTTTCTCTCTCTCTCTCCCTCTCCCTTCCTCTCTGAAATCAGTAAACATATATTTAAAAAGAAAAGAAAAGAAACCCTCAGCACAAAAATGCAAGTCTCTTAATGGAGTGGACCCCAAGTTCCCGAGGAACATGCGCTTTGCCAAGAAGCACAAGAAGGGCCGGAAGAAGATGCAGGCCAACAACGCCACGGCCACGAGCGCACATGCCGAGGTATCAGGCCCTCGGGAAGCCCAAGGAGATCAAGCCCAAGATCCCAAAGGGCAGCCGCCAGCCGTAAGTTCAATCAACTTGCCGACATCATTCACCCCAAGCGTGGGAAGTGTGCTTGGCCCACATACCCAAGGCTCTCAGGCCCTGCTGGCCAAAGGCCAAGGCCAGGCTCAGACCAAGACCCAAGCTGCAGCTGCACCTCCGGCTCCAGCTCAGGCTCTGGCTCCCAAAGATGCCCAGGGCCCCACGAAGGCTCTAGAGTAGAGGCCTCTGCCTGCTAATGTGAGAAGGGAAGGACTGGTGTGGCCTCCTGTGCTATTTGTACAAATAAACCTGAGGCAGGATCTGTAAATAAAAATAAAAAGGACTATGGGATTGAAGGCGAGGCAATGGGCAGCCTCCTGCGTTCCAGCCCTGGCTCCATCTGCCCTCACTTGCCTAGTCTCTACACACATTCCTTTCATTTGGGTTCGATTTTCAAGGGCACATGCCTGGGTTGCAGGTTCGGTCCCCAGGAGGGGGCATGGAGGAGGCAGCCGATCAATGACTCTCTGTCATCATTGATGTTTCTCTCTCTCTCTCCCTCTCCCTTCCTCTCTGAAATCAGTAAACATATATTTAAAAAGAAAAGAAAAGAAACCCTCAGCACAAAAATGCAAGTCTCTTAATGGAGTGGACCCCAAGTTCCCGAGGAACATGCGCTTTGCCAAGAAGCACAAGAAGGGCCGGAAGAAGATGCAGGCCAACAACGCCACGGCCACGAGCGCACATGCCGAGGTATCAGGCCCTCGGGAAGCCCAAGGAGATCAAGCCCAAGATCCCAAAGGGCAGCCGCCAGCCGTAAGTTCAATCAACTTGCCGACATCATTCACCCCAAGCGTGGGAAGTGTGCTTGGCCCACATACCCAAGGCTCTCAGGCCCTGCTGGCCAAAGGCCAAGGCCAGGCTCAAACCAAGACCCAAGCTGCAGCTGCACCTCCGGCTCCAGCTCAGGCTCTGGCTCCCAAAGATGCCCAGGGCCCCACGAAGGCTCTAGAGTAGAGGCCTCTGCCTGCTAATGTGAGAAGGGAAGGACTGGTGTGGCCTCCTGTGCTATTTGTACAAATAAACCTGAGGCAGGATCTGTAAATAAAAATAAAAAGGACTATGGGATTGAAGGCGAGGCAATGGGCAGCCTCCTGCGTTCCAGCCCTGGCTCCATCTGCCCTCACTTGCCTAGTCTCTACACACATTCCTTTCATTTGTCAGTCTAGCCCTCCCCTAAGGAAGCTTCAGCCCTCCCTCTACCCACACCCCCTCCCATTCCTCTCTCTGTGGGTCATAAAGTATCAATGAAACAAATCGCCCATAACTGCCTTTCTACTATTAGGCATTCTGTAAGTTAATGTGCATATGAAGTGAGGTTATTTAAAAATTTGGTGTAACTTTCACTTTGAGTAAATCTATTCAGAACTTAAGAACAGTGCTTCTGGAAATGGTTTTCCTGAGGAGAAATCAGCAAGCCCACCATATTACAATTTCAACAGGCTTGGTTTTTTTAATTTTTAGAATGACAGCCATGTTGTCTGAAGATCAAATTTCTATGTAATAATGTACACATGAGTTTACCTTAATGGGAAAAGTGTTTTCTACAACAAAATCTAGCTTTTTCCAAGTTCCTTTTAAAAATTAAATAATTCAGAATGCTGTAGAAAACCCTTAGCTCTTTCTTGTACATTCTAGCTGAAAGAAATGAGTGAGAAGATTGGGAAAGGAGAGGGAATCACAGAGAGGTAGAAAAAGCAGAAAGATAACAAGGAGAACATGGAGAATGATGTGTGAAGAGGATAAAATAGGTGATGAAGAGGGAAAGGGAGAGAACAGAGGCATGATGGGTACTGTACCACATGCCCTTGGCGAATGAAACCGGGAAAAATGAGAGCATGGATGTTGGAGCTTTAAGGGAGAATGTCCCTTGACTCTGAGGTTGAATGTGAGGGTGAAGTCGGGGAGAAACTGTTTATTCCACCGTCTATCACAGGGCATACGCTCATCTTCCAGATGCATAGCTGAGAAAGCCACAAAAGAAGGTCTGGACTGCTTCATCTCACAAGGTGAGTATGCCTCCATCTGCCGTGCTGTCTGCTTGCTTTGCACATTTCCTCACATCATATGCTCACAGCACCATCATATGCCATCCTGGCACCAACACAGAGGAGGCAGACGAATTAAAATGTGGGAAGTAGTGGGGAGCACAGCTTGTTTCCTGTTTTGGAATTTGTGGTAACACATGGGTTACTTTATTTTTTAAATTTTAATATATTTTCTGATGTTTTAATTGAGGTATAACGTACATAACATGCATTAATCCTGACAACTTTTTACATGTATATCAGGACCATGTAACTGCAAACTATATACACACACACACACACACACGCACACACACACACACACACACACATATTAAATATGCTTTTACTGACTTGAGAGAGAGAGGAAGGGAGAGGTAGAGAGACAAACATTGATCAGCTGCCTCCTGCACACCCCCTACTGGGGATCTAACCTACAATCCGGGCATGTGCCCTGCCTGGAATTGAACCAGCAACCTCTCGGTGCATGGGACAACATCCAACCAACTGAGCCACACCAGCCAGGGCACTGCAAACCATATAAGATAGGATCCCTTATGCTCTCTTCCAGTCAGTATTCCCCCTTCCCCAAAGGTAACCACTTTTCCAGTCTCCATCACTATAAATTAGCTTTGCCTGTTTGACTTGTACTTATGGAGAAATAGATAGAAAGATAGGGATTTGTGTGTTTGGCTTCTTTTTTCATCATTGCCTTTGAGATTCATCCATGTGTAGTGTTCTATATATAGAATAATTCATTCCTTATTTTTGCTGTGCAGCATTCCATTATGTGATAAATCACTTTATCCATTTTGTTGTTGGTGGGCATTTGGTTGTTTCCAGCTTTTGGTTGTTATGAATAAAGCTGCTGTGAACATTTTTGTACATGTCTTGGGTAGACACTCATCTCTCTACTGTATGTACCCAAGAGTGGAATGACTGTGGCAGAGGGTGTATGTGTGTTTAGACTTAGTAGGTACCAAACCTACTAACCCCTGGTTACTTTCATCCAAAGTGCTTTGGAGGGAGAAGAACCCTCCACAGAGATTCCTATCTGTTTGTAGAAGACCTGGTAAGTTGCCAGAGGGTGGGAAGTGCTGAGGGATATAAGGAAATTGTAAAAGAAAGAAACAAAGAAGGGAAGAAAAAGGAGGGTTCCAGCACAGAGAATGAAGATTTAGCTACAGAATGTTGAGGTCTAGGAAATGCGGGTGGCTGTTTTCAGATAGCTCTTCAGTATTGAATATTTTCTAACTTACCACAAAAGAAATAAAAATGGAGAAGACAAAGCTTTACAAAGAGGTTACAATTTTTAAAAATCTTTACCCAAGGATATTTTCATTGATTCTA